ATTTTAAAAAGAAAGGATTTAAAGTGGACAAAAAAAAAAAAAACAAAAAAAAAACTGTGCCACAGCCTGTATCTAATGTTTGTGAAATACTGGGTCTTTGAGGCTGTGGTCTTCAAGCAGGTACTCAAGGACTTTCCACGGGGTACAGACACACACGGCTTGAAGGGAACAAATGAGCAGACCCTCAACTTCCATTTTAATTTTTTCCTAAAACTGGTCTGAGACACACATCCACTTCCCATTCTCCCATCTCTTCCTGTGCACAAGGAAGGCAGACTTTTGTACCTGCCCCGCACCTGACCCATGCGGTCCCCAGACCACAGGTCATGGAACCTGGTCAGGTGAGAGGTCCTGAGTCCCCCGGAGTCAGGCACTGCGGGCCTTCCTGTCTGAGGAGGAGGAGTATGGTACATGTGGGCACAGGTGTGCCACACAGGGCTGTTCCCAATTCAGTTATTACATGTGTGTGTACATGCATATATACACACACATGCACATGCCTTACAGAATGGAGTGGGAGTGAGGATGGTGTTTGTGTAATGACCTTGATCTTCATCCCGACGATTCCCAATCTTTTATTTCATTGCTGCTTAGCTAGAGAACCGTGATGACAACACGAACACGACTCCGGGGGGTAAATCAGGGCTGTGTTTTTGCCCCTCTGCCCCTCTGGCCCTCCCTCCCTGCTCTCTCATCCGTCCACCCATCCAGCCAAGAATGAGGACTTGGAATCTGGAAACAAGACGAGGGACACAGGACGTCCGATCACACGTTTCTGGAACTGCAACGCGCAACCAGACCTTGCCTGGGAGAAAGCACAGGGGCGGCCCAGAGGCTCCACACGGGGGCTCTGCCGACCAGACCACACAGCCGACAGCAGCTGGGAGTGCGAGGTCTCGACAGAAGCACAGAAAGGCTATCGGCAAATGATGACTACTGCCACTTCAGTGATCCTCCTCCGGGGCTGTTTTAAGTGACACAGGTTGCCTCTAAGTAAAAGGGCAACAGGTATAACAAACTATTGGTTCAAAGTCTGCGTATAGCCTTTATGGTGTCCTTCCCAGAATCTGAAAAAATTAACATCTTTAAGGGCTGAACAGCAGTCCCTTTTCTAAGTCTGGTGATTTCCAAGTCTTGGGGCCGGCGCTGTGGCGCAAGGGGCTAAGGTGCCTCCTGCAACACTGGCCTCCCGTATCTGAGCGGCTGTTTTGAGTCCCAGCTGCTCCACTTCTGATTCAGCTCCCTGCTAAAGCGTCCCTGGGAGGCAGCGAGGATGGTCCAAGTCCTTGGACTCCTGCCACTCACACGGGAGACCCAGGTGGAGTCCAGGGCTCCTGGCTGCGGCCTGGACCAGCCCCGGATGTTGCAGCCATTTGAGCAGTGAACCAGCAGAGAGAAGGGTGGTTCTGCAGCTTCCTATCATTCTGCCTTTCACATAAATAAATCTTAAAACAGTTTCCCAAGTCTCTACTTTCAATACAACTGAAAAAGGACATACTTGAATTGTTGTTCTTGGTACAAAATGCAGGAAGAATTTAAAGAACTAAGTGACATAATTATAACAGAACTCCTACCTACCATCCCATGAATTAATTAATAATTTCTCAGTGCTTTTATCTCTAAAAATGAGAAACTGAAAAAAAAAAAGAGCCAGTATTGGACTCTTTCTCATTCCAGCAATAAGCATTATTGTTCATTTATTTAAAAACTTTCTAGAAGCCCATTCTTTCCATTATCAGTTGTAATTTCAATTAAAAATTTTTTTCAAGATATATTTGTTTATTTATTTATTTGAGACACAGAGTTAGAGACGGAGAGAGGGAGAGACAGAGAGAGAGGTCTTCCATCCACTGGTTCTCTCCCCAGATGGCCGCAAAGACCAGACAGAGCTGGGCCAATCTGAAGCCAGGAGCCAGGAGTTTCTTCCTGGACTCCCACGTGGGTACAGGAGCCCAAGGACCTGGGCCATCTTCCACTGCTCTCCCAGGCCATTAGCAGAGAGCTGGATCAGAAGAAGAGCAGCCAAGACACGAACTCGTGCCCATGTGGGATGCTGACGCCATAGGTGGAGGCTTAGCCTACTACACCACAGCACCAGCCCTACCATTAGAAAAATTTTATACCAGTGATTGATTAATGTTTATTTACATTAGCTGTGAATTAACAACAGCTGAAAGAGTACCTTAGACCAGGGGAAACTGAACACTTATGATACCTGGGAAAATGCCTTACAATGTATAGACGCCCACATTCACGTGTGACTATGTTACAGAGCTGTATGAGAGTTGATCAAAGAAAGGCTTTCAAATAACTCAACCCATAACATTAGAAGAAAATAAATAAAATAATAGAACAAAAAACCAAAATGAGCTCAGGGGAGAAAAGAGACAAAATAAAACTTCCAGCTATTAAAGGAGAGTTCTTTGTGTATTTTCTTTTAAATTATTTTTCATTTGAGATGGGGGGAGGGGGCCCAAATAGCCAGGAGTTGGGAACTCAATCCAGGCTCCCATGTGAGTGGCAGGGATCCAACTAGTTGAGCTACAACCTGCTGCCTCCCAGGGTGTGTGTTAAGCCGGAACCTGTCTCTGGACGGCACCTGGATCCGGAACCCAGGGACTCCTCCCTGGGACGTGGGCCACTCCCTTGATGTCTTAGTGGCTGTGCCAAATGCCAGCACCTCATGTGCTTTTTGCAGTTGCTTTCTTTTTTTTTTTTTTTTTAAAGGTGGTTATAAAATCACGATGGATTTAGAGTCCACAGAAAACATTTAAAGAAATGATTTGTCAGTGTCAGTGTTCATATCACACCATTCATTTTCCCAGTTTCTGGAAAGCATGAAAAACTCTTTTCCTGACTTAGGAAATCTCTCTCCAACAGTTTCTGTTTTTCTTTTACTTAGGGATGACTTGGCTCAACCCGGGTACTCAACAAGGGCCGGGAGAAATGAAACACGACACCCTCTGGCACCCGATCGCAGCTTGATTCCTGGAAATTGTGCCACCTTCAGACCCACAAGGGAGGCAGAGTTTTACCGCCCAGGTCCTGGGCTGTGTAGGCCGAGAATCGTCAAGACCATGGCTCCCAGGGGCTTTTCCTGGGCAGTGGATTGGCCTGGCCCAGCTGAGCTCGTGGTACTAGAAAGTTCCAGGAGTTGAAACGTATTTTCTGGTCATTTCACTCGATATTCTTGGCCCTAAGTGGCTCAAGACCCTAAATGGAACCCAGTGGAATTTTGGTTGTTGGAGTCTTCCGCTTTTCTAAGTCCTACCTGGGATGATACGGCCCAAGCGGCTCCTCCCACCTGGAGCACTGCTGGGAGCACTCCTCCTCCCACGGCCCCTCGCTGTCTGTCTCTGTCGTGTGGGACTTGGTTAGGAAACACTGCAGTCCCCAGGGGATGTGCACGCAGGGAAACCAGTGAGGAAACCAAACCCTATCACGTTACAATGCCTTCCCCACGGCGTCAAAGCACTTAGCCCGCCCTGCAGCCATGACTTCTGCATTGTATGGTGCGACGGCAAAACTCGCACGAGCTTCCTTCACATCTTCACAATTTCACGGATGGAAGACTCCCTTCTTTCTGTAGCTCCCAGCACCCTCAGCGCGGGCGCGTCTGTCTTTCCTAAGTGGAGCATTCTGCCTTTTCACTTAAAGGGTGCGTGTTGTGGCTTCTCTTCGGCCTATCTGAATTGCCACCATCGCCACCCTGGCACTCTGGGGCCATTGTGAAGACAAGGGGTCCTTGAACACAAGGCCCATGACACCTGACAATGGATCTGAGAGCTGGGATGGCTGCTAGGTGACAAATGGGCCATGTATCAGTAGGCTTGTTATAACCAAACACCCGAGGCAGGCTAACCTGACAAAGAGAAGAGCTTTACTCTGGCTGACAGTTCTGCAGGTGCAAGGTCTGGGGGCCTCACCTGGTGGTGGGCTCCTTGCAGGCACAGTCCTGAGCCAGCACAAAGCATCACAAGGCAAGAGACAGGGAGCATGCATCTGTCTCTGTCGATGCAGCCTCTTGTAAATCCACCAGCCTGTAGTCACGGAGCTCCATCCTAACAACCCCATCACCTCCCAAAGGCCCCCCGATGAACACCACAACCGGATGATGCGTCCACCTTCTTGTATCACTAACCTAAGCCTTTGGGACCAAACTCCCTGGGTCCGACAGTAAAATGCTCAGACCACAGCGGGCAGGTAGTGTATACAGCGTGGACACGTGAACAAAGGGAGAATTTACATCCCAGGCAGGACAGAGCCGATGGCACGAGATTCCACCATGCTACTAAGTATAGTGAGAAATTTAAAACTCACGGATTGTTAATTTCTGGAATTTTCCATTTAGTATTTTTGCACTGTGGTTGACTTCGAGTAACTGAGATGGCAGGAGGCAAAACCACAGATAAGGGAGGGGACCACGGCACAAAGAAGTCTGATGCTTCGGACCCTAGACGGCTCCTGCATCATCAGGAGGTTCCACTCACTGCCCATGCTGATCAAGGTTAAGGGGAGTTATGGGATGCCGCCACGTCCTCACAGCCCTACTTCAAATGGAATGCACCCTGCCTCCATCACTGGAGATCCTCGGCCGACTCACAGGTGGGAGTGAGTCAACCTAAAACCTGCCCTTGGCTCCCAGAGTCCGCCTTTAGTCAAGCCTGGTCCCGACAGGCAGCAGCAGCAGCAGCCCAGGCCCTGCTCTGAAGTTCCCTGCAAATCACCTCTGGGGAGAACAGCCCCGCACACCTGGGAACTGCCACCCACACCCACTGCGGCCGGGCCAGAGCCCTGCAGCGTGGCTCCCCATTCCTGGGCCAACCTCAGAGAGAAGAGGGAGGGCACGAGAAGCCCAGTGTGCTCGCATGCAGCCAGCAAAACCCTATGCCTGCTGCCCACACAGCACAGAGCCCCTGCCCTGACCGGCCCCTTCCCCACGGGTGGGTGGCTGCAGTGACCCAGCGTCCCCGGTTGCCCCTGGCAGGAAGCAAACCCACCTGAAGAGTGCTGGTACAAACGACGACCGGTCTGGCTTGGCGTCCACCGCGTCTGCACTCTCGGAGTCCCCGGCTCCCAGCTCCCCAGCATGGGCCTGATCATCCGCCATCTGGGAGGAGGAGAAGCAAACCGGAAAGCTGCCATTCAGTGGCATCGCTGGCTGAGTGACATTTCCACATGACACTTGTCCGGGCGACACTGCTTTTACCCAAGCTGGGGGTGAGCTGTCTCGTACAGCTGGCGCCAGGGGCGCTGCACCATCACCGCATTTAAATACACCAGTGCCAACCGGCCCCCAGCATCACGGCAGAGCCTGGACATAGGGCAGTGCAGAAACCAAGTCCTGGCCCTTGGGGAGCTCCTAACCCGGCACCCGTGGTCCAGTTTAAGTGGTAAGCTATGGGAAGTCTGCCATGTTTTGTTACAACCAGTGTCTCCCTCTAAATTCCCAACCCAACCCCTCCTCACTTCCTCACCTCTGCCTGGCTGAGCTCAAACCCAGCCTGGGGAAGCAGTGAGCAGGGCCTTTAAGTTCTCTCTGTCTTCCCGATGACTGTGCACGGCCCTATGGTTAACAGGTATTGATGAACTTGAATCTTCCAGATAGCCCCACTATCTTCAAGGCCATTCTCCCTGGACTTTAAGCGTTCCCCGATCTGACAGGAGTCAGCAAACTATGGCTACAGCCTGATGGGTAGATGTCTACGGTTCTTCTCCCCTGATGCGAACGCTTGAGTAATCATGCTCCCCAAAGCCAAAAATACTTAACCACCCAGCCCTCTACCCCGTCCGCGCTCCCTACACGGCCCCTGTGGTTGCTGCTGTATTTGCATTCTGCTAATTCTCAGGCGCCAAAGGGCAACGCAAGTTCATCATGGCAGAGGCCCCGGCACACAGAAGGCGCTTATTAAAGAAATACGGAGTGCAGGGCTGGGAGGAGCTAACGGATGCCCCTGGTCTGACGCAGAGCCAGCACCAGGATCCTTTGTGCTAAACCAGGTTCCGTTTCTTTCCATTGAGGGGCTCAGGGACCACCTCTCCGCAACAGGGGGGTGGGAGCTCTCGACTCCAGTTTCTACCGGGTCTCTGTCTCTGACTGCACCCGTGAGGCGCAGCCCTGAATCGTGTCACGGCCCGTCCAGGGCTGTTGTCACCAGGCTGGACACTAGGAAGGTGGCGATTTTCTACAACATTCTAGAGAACTGGGGGAAGTGGGAGGAGGAGGAGGAGGCCTCTGGCTCAGAGTTAGGCATCCAAGGAGGCAAAGCCATGGTCTTGTGGCCTGAACCCCAAACGGCACGACTGTAGCTTCCAGCTAACCACAGGCTGAGCTGGGCCAAGGGGGAGAGAGCTGAAGGGAGGGAGAGCCCACGGCTGGACGTGTACCATGACCGTGAGCAGTCTCACGCTCAGGCTGCTTCTCCACACCTTGCCAGCCTCCCAGCCAAGGCCCCAGAGCAGCTTCTGGTTAGGGGGCAGATTTCTCCAGTAGGACCCCGGGTGCTTCTCAAACACGGGACAGCCCTGTTCACAGAGGCGATGAGTGAGCGTCAGGCAGGCGGAAAACACTCAGCAGTCAGGGTCTCTCTCCTTCCTGTGGACTTCGTTGCTTTTCAGCGAACATTGAAAGCAACAAGACACAACTATTATCAAAATGAACAAGGCAGCGTTTTACCAAGTCCGTCAGGAAAACCCAGCCCACGCCACAGGTGGTTTTGAGCCTTGCCCGTTTTGTGGCCAGGGTGCAGGGAGACGGAGGAGACAGGGGCGGGATTACTCGCTGTCTCCCTCCCTGGGGATTTTTATACATCCATGTTGTAAGCAGCTTTTATGGAGACTGAAAAAAAAAAAACTTTCTTCAGTGATTATTCCTAAGCCCGCTTCACAGCTGTCCACGAGCCGGGACAACCGAGCTGGGCAGAACATCACTTCCCAGCCATTGTCTTAACTTGCCCCCCCCCCAACCCGCCCCAGGGCAGCTGCTTCCCCTGAAAAGTGACGTCACACAGTGTGCCCCAATCTCCCACAGGAAGATAGACAATTCTGAAGAGCTCAGGAGTGGTCCTGATGACCTGGGTCTCTCATCTCCTGCACCTGGGGGCGGGGGCAAACACGGGGGGTGGGGGATTCCCCACGGAGCCATCTACGCAGTCGGGACAATGGGGGCTGTGCCGCTGCCTTGCGAGCTGCCCAAGGCCACCGGGATGGCACACAGGGGATTTCCACGCGGAGGTCGAGGGTCAGGCTGGCCAGCCTCGAAAGAGGAACCAAAGGCCAGGGCCAGGAGTTCAAGGTTAAAGGAAAGACCTCACCCGGCGCTCCTACAGTCTCACTGCTCCATAAAGCCAGCAAACTCAACCCCAGGTGAGGGCCACCTGGAGCCTGCAAGTCCACACGACCAATGTCGCCCGCCCTGGTACCTCCAGGTACCTCCAAGAGCCCCGCAGCAACGAGTCCCCGACAACTACGGCCCTGGCTCCAGCGGACACGGCCTCGATGGGGCCGCCGCTGCACCTGCCATCACCGCCATCCCCCGCGCAGTAACCGTGCGCCCGGGACCCCGGCTGCACAGACGGCCAAGGGCGCCCAGCCGCCGGAACCCCGCCCGTCTGGCCAGGGGCTGGGCCAGATAAGGCGCCCTCCTTCCCGTCTAAATCCGAGCCAGCGACGGGTCCAGCGCCAGCCGTCGGGGCCGCTCTGCCCGCCCGAGCCGGCTCCCTGGACGCCGCCGCCCCGGCACGGAAGGAGGGCGGGGAAGGCGGCGGGAAGCGCATGGCGGAACGCGGGAAAGGCGCGCGCCGCAGCCCGAGTTACCGTGCCCACGCGGCTCCGTCGCTCCCTCCGCGGCGTGGGTCCGGGTCCGCAGTAGGGAAAGCGAAAGCAAAAGTCCTAGCGCTGTGGGGCGGGGAGGAGCCGGCCGGGCTGCGGGCACCGCCCCCGGCCCGGGACGGGGCGAGTCAGGCGGCCGGCGCCGCCCCGCGCATCCCCGCCCGAGAGCCCTCGGCAGAGTCGCCCTCCGACCCGCAAAGTTGGCCGCGCGCGCGGTGTCCCGACGGCGCGCGAGGCGAAGTCCGCGGAGCTGGAAGGGACCCCCGCCCCGGGGGAGCAGGGTCTGCGGGGGTGGCCACCCAGCGGCGCGCCCCGCAGGCTTCGCACAGGGGCGCTGGTCAAGTCGCCCTGTGTTCTGTCCTCCGTCTAGACTTGGGCCGCGGTGGCCCCACCAACTCGGGGACCCACCCACTCCCACGGCCAGCAAGGCCCCTACCCACTGGGCACCGTTCGCTTCCCTGGGGGCAGGGGCTGGGGGCTCTGTGCCTGCGTCTGCAGCGTTACCTCCCCGCCCCCACCCCGCCAAGCCCCTCGGGCCAGCCTTGGGGCCCACCGAGCTCTCCTGGCCTCCCCCGGGCCGTCTGTACCTCCGCGCGCGGGCGTGGGACGCTAACTCGGCCCTCTCTGCAGCCAAGTTCACGGGCGGCCCATCCTAAGGTTGCGTCAGACGCCTCCAGACACGGTCCGCGAGCGCCCCCAGGTGTCGGGCACTGGCTCTGCGGCCGAGGGGGAGAGCGCGCGCTTTGGGCCGGGGATCGCCCCGCCGCCCCGCCGCAGCCCTACACGACGGGGCCTCCGGCGTCTCTGCCCGCTCCCACACCGAGGGCTCCGCGTCCGAGAAGAAACGGCAGTTTTATTCAGGCCGTAGAGCCTTGCTTCCAGAACCGACAAAGCCTGCAGTGAAAGTAGCAGCCTCGCGCGCGGCGCGACCTCCCGCGGGCGCGGCGTCGTCTGGGAGCGAGTTTGAGGGAACGATTGGAATCGGTGACCTTCCCTAAAAACTCTGACTTCAGGTTACAGGGCTGGCAGTGTGGACACACTCCTCTTGATTTAATACCCGCTCTCCTGAAATGCTGGGAGAAAGTAAGCCGTGTTACACGCTAGGATGATTCGCTTTTTATTTTAAGATTTATTTATTTATTTGAAAGGCAGAGTTACAGAGAGACAGAGGGAGAGGTCTTCCATCCGCTGGTTCTCTCCCCAAATGGCCACAATGGCAAGAGCTGGGCCGATTTGAAGCCAGGAGCCAGGAGCTTCTTCCAGGTCTCCCACGCAGGTTCAGGGGCCCAAGCACTTGGGCCATCTTTCACTGCCTTCCCAGGCCACAGCAGGGAGCTGGATCAGAAGTGGAGCAGCCAGGACTAGAACTGGGGCCCATATGGATGCCTGCATTGCAGGCGGAGGATTAGCTCACTAAGCCACAGCGCCCCAATGGAATAATTTGCTTTTCAAAAGACTCAATTTGAAATGAAGAATTCCATTAGTAATGCAAATAAGCCACTCTCTGATTTGTAAATCTAGAGTTCTGTGTTATTCCTGAAACAGTGAACTGTGGAGATAGAAGAGGTCTTGACCATGAATTTGTACTCATTTTATAGGAAAAAGAATCCAAGGCTCAGAGAAGTTGCCCCCACCACCATCTTACTACCAGCAGAACCAAGATCAAGTTCATAGGGAAAATGGTGAGTTTTCCATCCACAAGAAGGCTGCATCATAAATGATACCAAGCAAACCACAATGAGTTGGCACAGAGGGCTTTGTCGTCGGCTCAGATGGGGAGACAGTTTGAAGGGAAACTTTCATTTTCAGTTCTTTATCATGAACTTGAATGAGTAACTACTAACGGATGGCTCTGGGAAGGGATTATAGTATCAGCAAATAAAATCATGCAAATGGGGAAAGGAAAGAAACCGTTTTTGAACTTTGCTCTCTGTCCTAAGTGTGCTGACACTTCGGATCCGAATGATAGTCTCTGGTGACTGTGTCTACATTTGCACCATGAAATTATTTTGTGTGTCCTTTCTGTCATCACAAGGTTCTAGCAATAAGCCTTCCCTCTTGCTCCAGAAAAAAAAATCTCTCAGTCTTGCTGTGATGGTTTGAATGTGCTTTGTCCACACCAAAATTCCTGTTGCGTTTTGCTCTCTAAGGTAATCGTGCTGAGAAGTGGAGAAGCCTTCAGGAGTGCTTGTGGTCACAGGGTTCTGCCTTGGCATGAGGATTAGTGGCATAATGAAGGGGCGAATTCTTGCTGTCGCAGGACTGGACGAGTTATGGCAAGAGCAGGTTGTGATGAAGCAATGCGGCCCGTCAGGGTTCGCCTCTCTTGCACCTGCCTGCTTGCCCCTCTGCCTTCTGCCATGAGCTGAAGCAGCACAAGGCCCTCACCAGCACCAGGCATTTGGCTTTCTCAGCCTCCAGATCTGTGCGCGGAAAGACACTTGGCGGTTACCAGTCTGAGGTATTTTGTGATAGTGACAGGAAACAGACTAAGACACCCCCCCTTTGGAGGCTTTCCCCAGGACTGGCTCATGGGTCCTTCTGGGCCTTGTCTCCAGCCCTGTCCTCTGGTCCCCTGATGGCTGTCACCAGGGATTGCTTCTCCAACTCTACCTGTTAGTTCTGGCCAGACCAGGAGCTTACACAGGACTCCCCTGAGAGTGTCTCAAGCTGAACAGAAACGCCAGTCTCAACACCCACACTCCCAGACCCAAACTCTGGCTCCTGCCAGGTAGCGAGAGTGGGAAGCTCGGGCTGAAGGCTGAATCCTTTTCTTTCCTGAAAAGAGGACTTCGGAGTGTACCTGCTGTCAATCGATCACTTCTCAACTCCAAGTTTACCTTCTAAGTCTTGTTCTGTGAAAACTGAGCTGGACCCTTTAAATGGCTGTGGCCTGATGTCAGATTTAGTCAGTAGGGGGCGCTAGAGAGACCATGCAGGATGGCAAGTGTTCTGCTTTCTCCTTCCGGGGTTTCCTGTGTGCTCCTGCAGAGGGGTGGGCCTCTCAGAACTGCGCGTATCCTGTGGCCAGAGCACCCACTAGCCAGCAGCACCCCTAGTTACCCCTCTCAGGTGCTTTTGTCACACCGTGCCTCTGCTGAGACACCTCCCTATGAACAGCTGTTCTAGCACCTAGAACTTTTCCCCAGAACGTTCTAGAGGACAAATTGCCAGAACATTCCATGGGTGCAGGGCCACAGTGACTTTTCTGCCATCTAGGGAGCCATACCTGTGCTCTCTTCAACACGTTTTGGGTTTGAGCCCTGGGGAGGCACTGGGGAGGGGAGTGAGGTGGGGGGACCTTCCTCAGCCCTGCTGACTCCAGCTCTAGGGGGCACTGACCAGGAATGTCTGCTATGTTATGTTTGTACTGGCGTAACTGGGTTCCCCCCAATTCGTACGTTGATCTGTTGACCTTGCAGTACCTCAGGGCCACTGGATTTGGGACAGGCCTTTGAAGAGGTGATGTGAAGTTGTCAGGGTGGGTCTGAAGCCACCATGACTGGGGTCACAGATCCACATGGGGGAAAGAAGACGTGAAGACACAGGGAGAAATGGCCACGTGCAGACGGACAGAGGCCCCGGAAGACGGCAGCTCTGCTGACACCTTGAACCCTGAGAGAACATCTCTAAGCTGTTTCTAGTTTGGGCAGCCTGAGCAAAGCACTGTTAGCGTTATTTGCAAGGATGTCTGCAGTTGCTCTAGTTTTTAGAATTTCCGTTTTAAAAGTCAATTTATTTGAAAGGCAGAGTGACAGAAAAGTGGGTGGATGAGAGAGAGATAAAGAGAGAGAGGGAGAATCCTTCATGTGGTGGTTCACTCTCCAATGGCTGCAATAGCATGGGCTGGGCCAACCCAAAGTCAGAGACAGGAACTCCACCCACCTGTCCCACGTGGGTGGCAGGGGCCCAGTACCCGGGCTGTATTTTGCTGTTCTCCCAGACGCATGAACAGGCAGCTGGGTCAGAAGTGGAGCATTTGGCACTTGAACTGGCGCTCTGATATGGGATGCTGGGGTCTGCAGTGGTAGCTTAACTTGCTGTGCCGTAATGCCAGCCCCTGTTAGAATTTTCATTACTTCTTCCTAGCCAATCTCTTGACATTCTGATTCCCCGTTACCATTTATAGTTTGTTGCATTAACTTTTCCCTTTGAGATTTTTGTGTGATTTCTCTCTCCTGACTGGACCCAGATGGATACATCTGTGTCTCCCCAGGCCAAGGGCTGCCTTAGTTCTGATTCTGCGGTAGTCAGCTACTTGGTGTGTTACGTTTGTGTGTTGCTGGTCCCTGACCCAGGGAAGGGCAACCCCAGCCATTGCTTCCAATGTTCTGTGAGCCAGAGATGGCATACCTGTCGCCTAAGGTCACTTGTGGTCTGTTTCTTTTCTTTTTTTTATAGAAAGCTTTTAATAAATAAAAGTTTCATAAGTACGACTTTTGGATTATAGTGGTTCCCCATACCACACTCCCACCCTCAAACCACCCCACCTCCTACTCCCTCTCCCATCCTATTCATTAAAATTCATTTTGAATTGTCTTTATATACAGAAGATCAACTCTATACTAAGTAAAGATTTCAACAGTTTGCACCCACCCAGGCACACAAAGTATAAAGTACTGTTTGAAGACTACCGTTAATTCTCATAGTACAACTCATTAAGGACAGAGGTCCTACATGGGGAGCAAGTGCACAGTGACTCCTGTTGTTGATTTAACAATTCATACTCTTATTTATGATGTCAGTAATCACCCGAAGCTCTTGTCATGAGTTGCCAAGGCCATGGAAGAACACTTTTTTTTTTAAATTTTTATTTATTTATTTGAAAGGTAGAGTTACAGACAGTCAGAGGAAGAGACAGAGAGAAAAGTCTTCCATCTGCTGGTTCACTCCCCAGATGGCCACAATGGCTGGAGCTGCTCCGATCTGAAGCCAGGAGCCAGGAGCTTCTTCCAGGTCTCCCATGTGGGCCATCTTCTACTGCTTTCCCAGGCCATAGCAGAGAGCTGGATTGGAAGAGGAGCAGCTGGGACCAGAACAGGGATTAACCTGTGCCACGGCGCTGGCCCTGGAAGAAACCTTTTGAGTCCACAAACTCTGACCTTATTTAGACAAGG